CTATATCTTCCTCCTCATCATCATCAATAACAACACCTATAACAATAGCAAAAACAAAATCAATAGAATCCTTAAACATTAAGTCTCACAACAAAAACAATAATAACAACAACAACAAAATCCATGGAATCTTTAAATATTATATCTCAACAACAACAATAACAACAAATAAACAAAATCAATAGAATACTTAAACATTAAATCTCAACAATATAAGTAACACAAGAATAATAATAACAAAAAATCATGGAATCTTTAAATATTAAATCTCAGCAACATCAACAACAACGACAAATAAACAAAATCAATATAATCGTTAAACACTAAATGTGTACAACAACAACGACAATATTAAAATTTTACTTGATATTGTTAGAGATAAGTCACATATTTCTCTAATCAAAGAGTGACACCACAATGAGCTAAAAACAAAACTATCTTTTTATCTCTAATAGATACAACTACAATTAACATTAAACAATTTTAACAAGGAATTAATAGATAAAATATTATATTAAGAAATTAACCTTGAAATATTTTCCTGCTCTTGATTTCATTATCATTGTTTACAATATGTTAAGTTTAAATTTCAGTATTTTACATCCTAGATGAATAGTTGTGGAATTCACGTTTTGATTGGCTAGTGAGAGTTTTACGTAGATCACTAATGTTTTATGTGGATTGATGAATTGACAATGTCTTGACCATTGTTACTTTATAAATAGACCGTAAAGATTTGTTACTTAATTTTTTCATCAAAACCCCTCAACAAACTGTAGAGATTCACCAATCGAGTCATCATCAAATTATCAGTTTTTCAATTATGAAATTCACTTTGATATGTTAAGTAGAACATATTGTAAAAGAAGCTTGACATGTCTCTAATGAAGGTAATAAGAATGTATTTGTTCCCTCCCTATCTTCATATAGTGAGTTGGTGTACTGAGAAAGCCATTAAAAAGGTCTCCGGAATCATTTCAAAATATTTTGTTGGAAATAAATATTTTTTAAATTTGTATAATAAGATCATTTATGTAGTATAATGAAATAGGTTGAATATAACATAACTGACTAGATTCTTACATCATAGAAATTAAAATTCGAGTATTTACTAAAAATTATTTATGCTTAGTGTTTAATATGTTTCTTATAAGGTTATATCAGACTAGGCTTAAACCAATGTTTCTTTTAAGGAATCTATAAAAAGTTAAAAAGAAAATAAACCAATGTAATATACTTTAAAGATATACTTCATGCATCTATGCTTTCAATTTAATTTATAATTGTTGTATAATTTGGCCACCAAGCCAACTTGATCAAATCTTCTCATAAAGACTAATATTATATCTTGCAAAAATAATAAAGTGTTTATCAAATCTCAGGTCTGTAACAACAATTCCTTTACGATTTATCCACCTCAAGCGCAAATTTCTCAGGATTCAACACATTCTTTTTATATTCTCATTATGAACGTGAGGTATCTGTTAGTTGAAATTTCGACGCATCCTAGAACTCGAGGTATCAAGAAAGGATTGAAAAAGTACTTCAAGAAATCTAACTAAGTCTATAACTAAGTCTATGAAATTTTCGACAAGCGATGGGAAGATAGATAATATGTTTCTTAAGTGTACAACAACGTTGGGACTAATTCATTATTGAAATGATTTGATTATTATTTCGACTAAAGAAGTTGAAACATGAAACGAGGCTAAGCAACCGAGCGAAGTGAAAAAAGAGTGATAGAGTGCAATGTATATATTCAAAACCCATTTTTTTATCTATTCAAAGTCTTTTACATTAAGTTTATGTTCAACATTAATTTTTTGTCGAAAACCTTTACATTTTTCAGCATTTACATTTAACTTCATTTGCTTTAAGGATTTCGATCACGTCGAAATCTTTATCTTTTATATAGAAAATCAAATAATAATTCAAGAAACTTTATGCACATATGTTCTAAGATCAATCTAGTCGATCCTGTGAGTATCTTATTAGAAGATTAGCGCTTGTTTACTAAATTTTACGGTAAATAAATTGGCACGCCTAGTGGAACGTTGTGCTAAAAGTATACATTTTTTCAAAAAATTTGCATGATCTTCATCCATAAAATTCTCAAAGTTGTGAGTGTGCATGGGATCGATGAGCGGTAGGATAACCAAATAAAATGTTAAAAGACCAATTAGGAGAAACTTTAGAAGAATGGACAACTCTAGGAATAACAATCCAAATGGAGGCACAATCGTTGCGAATTCAACTAAAGTGAATGCATCTACGACAAGCACTACTGTCATGCCTTCAAATGCGCAGATTGCACCAATAATTTCCCCATATCTATACCACAGAGTCACCATGCGACTCTAGACGAGTCGAGACTAGTTCTTTATGTAGCGGTAGAAATATTTAAGACTAAGTCATTGGATTGACTAGACTTATACAGATCAAAATAAAAATCGTCACTGCGCTTTATTGTTTCCAAAGGAATGGAAAAAGAGAAAATAACCCAAAAATAGGGGGAAAGATTCAAGGTAAGGGGGGTGGTTATGCAAAGGGAAGGTATTAGCACCCTAAACATCTACTGTACTCCACAGGAACCTCTTTGAAAAATATGTATATTTTGGCTATAAAATATGTTATATAGAAATATATGGTGGAGGTGAGAAGAGAAGTAATTTTTATGATTTTTGTACCCGCCGTGGTTGTGAACCTTTAGTGCCTACGTACCACCTTTCGTGCAATAGGAGATCAGGGTACACGTAGTTCTTCTTTTAAAAATTTGAAACACAAGTGTGTTGGTTGATTTTAAGAGACAAGACATCATCGTCGTTGTTCGTGTGAAAAACATACTTACTACCCACAATCATGAGAAAGGAGAATTTGCATCATCTCAAAGTGGAGGATATGACTTGGATTTTAAAATCAACAATGCCTCACTCAACACCTAAGTGAAAAATATCTCACTTCACTATATATTGTAGAAGTATAGTTGTTGCATCACTACAAAGATTGCCAAAAGTCCAATATTTTGAGAAAAGTTTTAAAGATAAAAAGTCAAAGTGACAAAATGGTTTGAAATGAGATTGATTGACTTTTAGTCTTACCACAAAAAATGTCAAGGTATTATTAAGTTGATTGGAGTTTATTTATGAAAATGTTTTGAAAATGCATGGACATAAGTCTAAGTTTATTATGAAAATAGTTTAAGTTCAAAACAAGAAGTGTTTTCAAAAGGGGGAAGAAGATTTTTGAAATTAAAGAAGATGGGAGGAGAAGAAGAGACTATCCTAAAGCATAAGGTAAAAGCTAAGGAGAAGAATCATCTAACCAACAAGAAGCCAATACATGACTGAAACAACCGGCTGAAAATCATCAAACAATGAAGTCTCCATCGAACGTCTTTTATCCCACGTGTAGGGAAAGGTAAACATCGAGAAAACCTGAGAAGGGAGAAGTCACGGTCTTGCGACCGAGAGATCGGGTAAGGGAGTCTGTTACGTGAGGGGAAGGTATTAGCACCCCACACGCCCGTAGTACTCTACGGTATCCACTCTTGTTATCTATCTTATGGGTGTGTTTAATCTATGCTTACTGTCTACTATACTACTGAAGGGAGAATGCATGCAAAAGAAAAGGGAAAAGAATGTAGGGAAAATAAAATTGTGCTCGCCTGGGCCCTACCCCAATGCCTACGTATCCTTTTTGAGGAATCAGAGCTACCGTAGTTCGGCTCATATGTTTTTATTTGTTTGTGTTTTTTGTGGACGAAGTTAATTCTGCCTTCTGCCGCAGCTCGACCTTTGGAGACTTATGCGTTGGCACAGAAGTAAATTAATCGTGTCCTTACCTGAAAAGGTTTTTTTTTAAATGAAAGGTGCTCGAGCGCACAAAAGATTTGAGTTGGTTTATATTTTGTTGTAGATATTTTTTATGGACGAAGTTAATTCCGCCTTCTGCCGCAGCTCGACCTTTGGAGACTTATGCGTTGACACAGAAGTAAATTAATCGTGTCCTTACCTGAAAAGGGTTTCTTAGAGAAATGTGCTCAGGCGCACAAAAGATTCGAGTTGGTTTATATTTGTTTTTGTATTTTCGTTGCAGATAATGACTAGCCGACCTCAAGAGAGAGATATTAGCCATTTTTCTACTTAGTCATGAAAGGAGTCTTTGAGAATTAAACCACACCTATGCTTGATATGAAGAACAATAAGATCGAGAAGAGACCCGCTTATCATTTCCCGTACTAAGCAAAAGCATGATTCTCGTCAATAGTTTTAAAGTGTTTTGAATTTTGAAAGAAAGAGAAAGTTTTAGTTTTAGGTGCGTATGCAAAAGGAAAAAAAGTTTAAGGGGAATTAGCCTATTTCTAAACCTAATGTTATCGTGCATTGCTAGACCTAAAGTTTGAAATTTGAGGGATGCTACCTAATGTTAGCACGCATGTTATTTGTGATAAAGTACGGAAATGAAGAATAAAATAGAGTTGTGACGATACCGAACGGAGAAGGTCCGTTTCCTCTTCAAAATTGTGCAAGCGGTAAGAGAATTCTATCAAAGTTTCCTTGAGCAAGTGATTGAAGAATTCACCCCGAGCATTCCATATTGCAAGAGTTATGTCGATGCTATCACAAAAATCTTGACTAGAAAATGGCAATAAAATGATTACCAAACATGAAAAATAAAATAGTAAAAAAAAAACTCTTATTGAAATTCTAAAAAAAGAAATTCCAAAGAATTCTAAAATATTCTATTGTTTTGTATCATTTTATTATCAATTAAGAGAAGAAAAAATTAAACTAAAAGAAAAACTAAAATAAAAAAGAAAGAAAAATTAGAAGGATCAGGGGGGTACAAGCTGAATTCAGGGGGTGTGGTTCAGCAATTTGCCCAATGAATTCAAGATCTAATCTCAATATTCATGTTTTCTTTTTCAGCATATTTTTAATTAACAATTTATAGTTATAATTATTAGAAAAAATAAAAACAAAAATGTGAGAAAATTGGAAATGGGAAAAGGGTTAGGGATTGCAATTGTATGTCCATCTTCCTCCATGAAGGCGCCGCTTCCTCATGGTGAACGGCGAATCCTTCTCTTTCTCGCGCAGCAATCGATCGTAAGCTCGCCTCCTCCAACCGATTCAATGTCGCACTCTTTCATCTGGCCATCATACACCGTCGATAGCCACCGCAAAAGGCTTCCTTATCTTTTCGCTGCGCCTTCTTCCTTTCCACCGATTTCTGCCACCGTACAAAATCATAGCACTGTTGCAAGCTACTTCTTTCTCATCTCCTTCTTCAAATCAGCACCGCATGCAAATCATCTTCTTAAAACTGCTTCTGACGTCGCGACTTCCTCCGTCAGCTCCGTGCATCACCTACCAGAAGATAAGTCGGGTGTGTCTTTAACACTCAGGTATGCGTTTGTTGTTTCGATTATCTCCTTATGTGTTCTTCTTTTTCTGTCTCGGTACGCGTTATGAACTGAGAAATAAACTCAGAATTTAATGTTCTTGACAGGATGCGTTGTTGAAATAGCGACTTGCGTTGATGATGTTACGTTGATGGAGAGAAGTTGAAGCAACAAGAACTGAAGTGATTGTTGCAATGTTGTAGATTGTCCATGAGTGATGAAGATGTGAAGCAATTTGCAGAAACTCCTAGGGAGGATGAAGGGAAATTCAGAGATTGGAGGGGTATGTGATGATGATTCAGTTGAAAAGAGAGTAGAGAGATGATTCTGATTTTTTTTTGTGGTGATGCTTCCAGAATGCTGAAGAATGCCTAATGAAAGAGGTAAATTCTGCTTTGTATAGTCTGTTAGAATTTTTCTGCTGGAGGTTTTGTTAGATTGTATAGAAAGTTGGTTAAAGGTTTGTTGTGGCATTCTGTTAGAAGCTGGTTATTTGTTAGTTAGGAGGTAGTTATCAAAATTCTGCTATGCAGTGTTACTAATTCTGTTAGAAGTTAGGGAATTGGTTATGATTGGTTAGAGGTTTGAGGAATGGGAAAAATGGTTAGGAGGTGAATTGGTTAGGTTAGTTACAGATTATGAAAGCTGTTAGAAAAGTTGGCTGTTAGAGTTTTATGTGCAGGGTTGCTTTAGAAAATGGTTTAGGGAATTTATAAAATTCTGTTTTGGCTAGCATTTATAGAGTTTTAGTTATTCTGTTTGACAGTTGGTTTCATTCTGCTGATTTTTCTGGAACAGGGTGTCTTCTCTGGATTGTGCAGGCTGTTTTGGAGCCATTTCTTGATTGCAGGTTTGGAATTCGATGGTGCGAGGATAAAAAGCCAAGTTTGATAGAGTTAAGATATGGGGAGAAAGGCAACAATTATTGAGGGCATCAAGACGAAGTTTCGAAGATTGGGGCAATAATAAGGCTTAGCTTAGGTTTAGCATAAGCTTAGAACTGAACTTGTAATGTCTATCATGCTTTCAATTTGTATATTTGTAATGTTTTTGGATCATGAATGACCTTGGCATATGATGATTTATTAGAATGAAATGCTTCAGACTCTAATTGGACTTTGAATGAATTTGGATGAGATTTTATCGATACTTGAATAACATTTCGAACGGAACTTCAAGTTTGAAGCTTGCCATGACAAAAAGATCCATACTTTATTTCCATCACTCAGAAATCCATGTTTATTATTCTTTAATGTTCGAATGAATAATGAGAAATTTGAACAAGCTTTTGTTGAATGATAATGATGAATGATGGATTTGGAAATGATTTAGTTTGGATAAACTTGGATAAAGGATGATGAAATTTACAGATGAAGAGTTTGAACAATGTCGAACTTTGTGCGAATGCCTTTATGTCTTAGCCCTTATATTTTGCATCTTGCTTTCAAAAAATATCCTTATGATCGAATGCTTACCAAATTTTCATAATGGAACCACTTGAATCGACTTCAAATCCAAGTTATCTTGCATTCTCAATGAACCTCTAATTTTAACTCTCCAAATTCGATCCAAACTTAACTTGCATGATAAGTAACTGATATCTAACAGAGTGATGATGTTTTGAATCCACAAACCATATCTTGTACCCTGTATCCCAGGCAACCAAAGTATCACCCAAGCATCCTCAAACTCATAGACTCCTATCAGGAATCTAACCCTTGCAACGATGAAGATAAGTACAAAAACCTTAATTCAAAGCATTCTCATTTGAATCCGAGTCATTGAGAAGGTAGTAAACACTTGATGCTTTTGAAGGGACCTTAAAGATGGATGTCTTATAATATCCCGATGCAAGAAATTCTCGATAAATCATGCACACAAAAACCCTAGCTCCATAAGCCAAAAATTGTTACGTAAATAACATGAATCAGCCTTGAATGAAAGTGAGACTCTTAAAGCCAAAGAGAAACCATACACCTCAAAATCTTTGATCCCATGCCAAGTTATGTTGTTAGCGAATGTATGCAATGTTAAATGACCTAATGGAGTTATGTACACGAGAAAAGTGCGACAATATGTAAACCAGATAAAAGTAGAAGGGTAGGACAAATTTGGGGTATTACAGCTGCCCCTATTTACTCGTCTTAAACCTAAAAGTACGATTGGTGCGTGCCTTTTGGAAGTTCAAGGTTGAAGATGATTAAATATCAATGCCAAAAATTTGTGCTGAGAGAGAGTAAGTGTTTTCTTTATTTATTTATTTTGTGATCTGCTGGGGAAAAGAAATTTGTTTTTTCAATGAAGAGATAGAGACTGGACTTGTAACGTGGCTTGATGCCAATACAAGACAAATGGTTGGTATGAAAAGACAGCAGACGGGGTCTACGGGCGACCTACGATCCTAAGGTGACACGTGAGAGTGATTTGACAGAGAACCAAGCCAAAGGGCGATCTCAGGTTCGACGATGATTTAAGGGAAGAACCTAGCCAAGAGGCGATCTCAGGTTCGACGATGATTCGAAGGAAGTACCTAGCCAAGAGGCGATCTCAGGTTCGACGATGATTTGAGGGAGGAACCTAGCCAAGAGGCGATCTCAGGTTCGACGATGATTTGAGGGAAGAACCTAGCCAAGAGGCGATCTCAGGTTCGACGATGATTTGAAGGAAGAACCTAGCCAAGAGGCGATCTCAAGTTTGACAATGATTTGAAGGAAGAAACTAGCCAAGAGGCGATCTCAGGTTCGACGATGATTCGAAGGAAGAACCTAGCCAAGAGGCGATATCAGGTTCGACGATGATTTGAAGGAAGAACCTAGCCAAGAGGCGATCTCAGGTTCGGCGATGATTTGAGGGAAGAACCTAGCCAGGAGGCGATCTCAGGTTCGACGATGATTTGAGGGAAGAACCTAGCCAAGAGGCGATCTCAGGTTCGATGAAGGTTTGAGGGAAGAACCTAGCCAATAGGCGATCTCAGGTTCGACGATGATTTGAGGGAAGAACCTAGCTAAGAGGCGATCTCAGGTTCGACGATGATTCGAAGGAAGAACCTAGCCAAGAGGCGATCTCAGGTTCGACGATGATTTGAGGGAGGAACCTAGCCAAGAGGCGATCTCAGGTTCGATGGTGATTTGAAGGAAGAACCTAGCCAAGAGGCGATCTCAGGTTCGACGATGATTTGAAGGAAGAACCTAGCCAAGAAGCGATCTCAGGTTCGACGATGATTTGAGGGAAGAACCTAGCCAAGAGGCGATCTCAGGTTCGATGATGATTTGAAGGAAGAACCTAGCCAAGAGGCGATCTCAGGTTCGACGATGATTTGAGGGAAGAACCTAGCCAAGAGGCGATCTCAGGTTCGACGATGATTTGAAGGAAGAACCTAGCCAAGAGGCAATCTCAGGTTCGATGATGATTTGAGGGAAGAACCTAGCCAAGAGGCAATCTCAGGTTCGACGGTGATTTGAGGGAAGAACCTAGCCAAGAGGCGATCTCAGGTTCGACGATGATTTGAAGGAAGAACCTAGCCAAGAGGCGATCTCAGGTTCGACGATGATTTGAAGGAAGAACCTAGCCAAGAGGCGATCTCAGGTTCGACGATGATTTGAAGGAAGAACCTAGCCAAGAGGCGATCTCAGGTTCGACGGTGATTTGAGGGAAGAACCTAGCCAAGAGGCGATCTCAGGTTCGACGATGATTTGAAGGAAGAACCTAGCCAAGAGGCGGTCTCAGGTTCAACGATGAAAACATGGGTTACGACATGATGATTGTTTAGATAAGCGACACGGACGAGCATCAAGAAAGGTTAAACACGGACGAGTGTTTGAATCAATACGGACGAGTATTGAAAGAAGATACGGACGAGTATCAAAGGTTAAACACGGACGAGTGTTTGGATCAATACGGACGAGTATTGAAAGAAGATACGGATGAGTATCTGTGATACGGCGGGAGAACTGACTTGAGGTTTTGCGTTTGTATTCGCAAATGTTTCGGTTGAGCAAGAGTCGCCACCGACTTTTTATTTTATCCTAAAGGAAAGGTTAAAAAGCACAGCAAAAAACCTTTGAGATGTTTTCTTGGGTTCGGGGAGTAGATTATAGAAAGGGAAGGTATTAGCACCCTTTCTATCCATGGTTATCCATGGGCTCTTAGTTACTTGCTTAGATCACTTGCCTTTTGTTTTCAATTGTTTGAAATGGTGCTTGTGTGTGTGTGGGTTTGAAAATGTTTTAAAAAGAGGCCAATGTGGTGGCAACCTTTGTAATGATCCATGTGGGGATGTATACAAAGATGTACGTCTTTTGAAAAGGTTTTCATTTGTTTTTGAAAGTTGTTTTGAAAGTGTTGTGAGGTGTGTTTTAGAAAATAGGCAAGTGTTTTGTTTTGCAAGTTTGATTCAAGTAACTAAGAGGTTATCTACTCCTAAATTTCTCAAAAGATTATTGCTATGTTTTAACCCTTTTAACAAGTTTGTTCCACCATTGTATTTGGTGGGCAACCTTATGTTAGGATGTGAAAGGGACAGGCGCGGGTCATCGTTTAGGCCATAATTGCAACGACGTTAAATGTCTTTGGGCAATTTTCTTTAAGGGACTTGATCATTTATCTTTGTTTGTTTTGAAAAGTTTTGTCGAGGGACTATGATCATTCAATTTGTTTGTTTTGCCCAAAGAAGTTCAACATACAATATGGCCCAATTTTGAAAGGCAACAAGTGGAATACCCTAGGGGTGCAAGTGTGATTTGTGCGTCCATTTTCATGCTTGTTTATCTTGAGATTAGGTCATAACTATTTTTATCGTTTTTCGCATGCAAACCCTAATTCTAACATGTTATTATTAGAAAGCGTATAAAGTGCGAAATTTAAATTACTAAGCTATTACAAAACCAAATATGGGAAGGGGGGTACAAATGTTCAAATGGGGATATTGACAAGAATTTAAATCTAAATTATTACATCATTTTTGAATATTTGCAAAGTAAATAAATTGCATAATTAAATAAGAATGCAAGATGCAAAAGAAATGTTTTGTATATGTATGAAAAAAATATTATTTATGTAAAAGAGAAAAGAAAATAAAAATATATTATTTTTTGGAGTATTTTGAATTTAGGGCAAAAACCCTAATTTTAAAGAAAATGTAATACAACTATTTATTTATTATTTATAAAAATAAAATAAAATGAAGTATATTATGAAAAAAAAGTATTTTTGTATCAAATATTAATAAAAATGAAAAATTCAAGTATTTTTATATTTTAACTTAAATATATTAATAAACATATATATATATATATATATATATATATATATATATATATATATATATATATATATATATATATATATATATATATATATATATATATATATATATATATATATATATATATATATATATATATATATATATATATATATATATATATATATATATATATATATATATATATATATATATATATATATATATATATATATATATATATATATATATATATATATATATATATATATATATTAAATTCTTTAATATGCATTATATACAAAATAATATATATTTAATATTTTAATAAAATAAATAAAAATAGTATTTTTATGTGAAATATTTTCAGAAGGTAAATAAAAATAAAAATTGTATTTGAATGCATTTACACTATTTTTATATTTATTCTAAATAATAGTATATAATATTTGTGTATAAACAAAGGAAATAAAATCAAATAAATATGCCATAAATTCAAAAAAAGATGGAAAAAATATTTTTATGTTTTTTATATCATGAGAAAAAATAAATAGAGTCAATCAAAAAAGAAAAAGTCAAAAAAGTCAAATAAATAAGCAAATGGGCTCAGGGGGTGTAATAGCAATTAAGTGGTGTAAATAAGAAAAAATGCACAGGCCCAGCCCAAAGATCACTGTCTTCAACCTC